GGCATTGCCCCTCTTATGCGTCTCCCTGCTGCTGCATGCACACCATCAAAGGTGCGGCAATCTAATAGAATAAATTCTGTTTGCTGCAGCAGCAGCGCAGCAGCAGATTCTATCTTATGCAGCAGCAGCAACTCCTGCTGCTGCTCCTGCTGCTGATGACGGGGGGAGGATGCTGCTGCTGCTGCTGCTGCTGATTCGCATGCAGACACCAGCAAACCAGGGATAGCTAAACGTAGACCTGGCTGCAGCACCAGCAGCAACTCAAGCCAGTCTGCTACGCTGCGGTGCTGCTGTTGCTGCTGCTGCTGCTGCTGTTCCTGCTGCGGTTGCTGCTGCTGCTGCTGCTCTAGCTCCGAAGCAGGGGAGCTGCATAGGCCTATATCTGGTGTGCTGCGGTTGGTGCTGCTGCTGCTTCTGCTGCTGTTGCTGCTAAGACTATCTCTTGCTGCTTCTGTAGTACCTGTCCCTGGAGAGTCTGTCAGCCCTGCTGCTGCTGCTGCTGCTGCTGCTGCTGCTGCTGCTGCTCCATCCTGCAGCACTTCTGCTTTATAAGGCAATTGCTCAAAGCTGCCAGGAAGGGATATATGAAGAAGCCCACCATCCTGCTGCTGCTGCTGCTGCTGCTGCTGTCCGTTAGCTTTAGACTGCTGCTGCTGCAGCAACTTCTTCTGTTGCTGCTGCAGCTCCTTCGGAGACTCCTGCTGCTGCTGCTCCTGCTCCGATTGTTGCTGCACATCCTGCTCCTCCCCTTCCTGCTTCTTCGCTTCCTTCTGTACACGCAACTCCTCTGGCTGCTGCTCTTGCTGCTGCTTCTGCTGCTCCTTCGGCTTCTCATGCTGCTGCTGCTGCTGCTGCTGCTGCTGCTGCAGCGGTGCTGCTGCTGCTCCATTTGCTGCCTCCATTGCTGCTATTTGCTCTCTTAATATTTTTATTTGCTGCTTAAGGGACGCACGCCGCAGCAAATAGCTGCAGACAGAGTCCCCATCTATTAAAGGAGACACAACACCTGCAGCAGCAGCAGCAGCAGCAGCAGCAGCAACAGCAGCAGGCAATGCAACGAGAGGAGGACAAGAGGAGAATGATGCAGCAGCAGCAGCAGCAGCAGCAGCAGTAGCAGCAGCATCGGCAGTGCCAAGACCACGCGGCAGTACACAAGAGAGCAGCAGCAACAGCAACAGAGACGGCACTAGCAACAGCAGCAGCAGCAGCAGCAGCAGCAGCAGCAGCAGATAATCTTACTAGTTTGTGTCCCTCTAGAGGCCTGTAGCTCAGCATTAAGAAGACAAGGAGGTGAGTATACACCTAAATCAAATGCATGCAGCCACCATTCTTTTGCTGCTGCTGCTCCATCTGCTGCTGCTGCTGCTGCTGTTGCTGCTATTGCTGCTGTTGCTGCTGCTGCAGCAGAATTGGAGGGGAGAGCAGCAAATCGGCAGCAAGAAACTAAATCAGCAGCAGAAGTGCAGCAGCAGCGCAGCAGCAGCTGACGATTCTTAATCAGCAAAGATATAGCAAGTAATAAAACCCTAAACAGACATACAGCATAAACCCTAAACCCTAAACCCTAAACCCTAAACCCTAAACCCTAGAGGAGGAGACGTCCTTGATTCCTCCCTTCTAACACTAAGTCTTATTTGTGCTTTAGGGTTTAGGGTTTAGTATTTAGGGTTTGGTGTTTAGGGTTTAGCTCTTATTAGGGTTTATTAGGGTTTAGAGTTTATTAGGGTTTAGGGTTTATTAGGGTTTAGGGTTTATTAGGGTTTAGGGTTTAGGGTTTACGTACGTGTGTGGTTCTTTTACTAGGGCTGTGTATCGCCATAAGTTGTCTATACACTGCAGCCTCTTATCCATACTATCCTCTGCTGCTGCTACTGCTGCTTTTGCTGCTGCTGCTGCTGCTGCTGGTGTTGCTGCTGCTGCTTCTGCTGCTGGCGGCTTAACGAAGCACAGAGAAGCAAAAGCTGTACCCATCCATTCTCCTGCAGCAGACAGCAGCGAGAGTTGCTGCTGCTGCTGCTGCTGCTGTTGCTGCTTCTGCTGCAGCAGCAGCAGCAGCAATTCAGGATCATGATACAGCAGCAGAGAACGTAATGTTGCTTCTGCTTCTTCCCTCTGCTGCTGCCGCTGCTGCTCTAGCTGCTGCACTTGCTGCTCGTCAGACTGCAGCGCAGCAACTACAGCAGCAGGAGAGAAGCCGTTGCTGCGGCCCATAGATGCTGCTGTTGCTGCTGCTGCTGCTGCTGCTGTTGCTGCTGCTGCTGCTGCTGGGGGTTCGTCGTCTAGCAGCACATCTTCTAATTCTTCGCTTCTGCTTGTGCATGAAGAACGGCGGGAGGATCCTGCTGTTGCTGCTGCTGCTGCTGCTGCTGCTGCTGCTGCTGCTGCTGCTGTTGCTGCTTCTGCTGCTGGTCCATTTTCAACATTCTGCTGCTGCTCCTGCTGCTTCTCCTCATTCTGCAGTTCCTGCTGCTGCTGCTGCTGCTGCGCATCGTGCTGTGATTGGGACCTCCGCCGCTGCTGCTGCTGCTGCAGGTGCTGCCTATACACTGCAGCAGCAAAGGCGCGAGAGACAGCAGGATATGTGCATCCATCTAACAACTGCTGCTGCTGCTGCTGCTCCTTCTGCTGCTCCTCCTCCTTCTGCTGCTGCTGTTGGGAATCTTCATCGTTGTTGCTGCTGCTGCTGTCTTGTGTGCACTCCTCCTTCGTCCGCAGCAGCAGCAGCAAGGAGGGGGCAGCAACTTCTCTTAGTATGTACTGCAGCGCAGCAAACCGCTGGCTGCGCGAAGCAGCAGCAAGCAGCGGCAGTGCATGCACTGCAGCAGCAATAACAGCAAGGCCTGTTAAGGAAGCACACAGCAGCAGCAGCAGCAGCAGCAAATATACATGAGACAAACAGCAGCAGCAGCAACTGCAGTAACAGCAGCAGCAGCAGCAGCGGCAGCAAAGTGTAGCAGCAGAGAAACAAACAAGCAGCACCACCCCCAACAGCTTCCCTCATGCTGCTGCTGCTGTTGCTACTTGTGCTGCTGCTGCTGCTGCTGCTGCTGCTGCTAGTAGGGAGGGATTCTAGATTACCTGGGGTGTATAGGCAGCTATTTACTGCGCAGTATTCTCTAACGAATTGCTGCAATTGATTCCTCTCAATCAGCAGCAGGTGCTGCTGTTGCTGCTGCTGCTGCTGCTGCTGCTGTGCTGCAGCAGCAGCAGCATACAGGATATTAAGATCGTGCTGCAGCAGCGCTTCCTCATCGCTAGTAAAGTAATGTAAGGAAGCAGACACTAGGCAGCAAGAATCCTCTGCACACAGCAGCAGCAGCAGCAGCAGCAGCAGCAGAAAATTCAGCAGCAGCAGCAGCGGCAGAAGCAGCAGCAGAAGCAGCAACAGCAGCAAAGGTTTGAGCAGCAGCAGAGGAGTAAAAGGCAAAATATAAATGCATGCAAACAAATACTAGCTATACCTAGCAGCAGCAGCTACAGTTGCTGCTGCTGCAGCTGCAACTGCACCTGCTGCTGCACTTGCTGCTGCTGCTGCTGCTGCTGCTGCTGTACCTGTTGCTGCTTCATCGGCCTCAAGGAGTCTTAGGAAGAGACGATCTCCTATAACACCAGACAGCAGCGCCTCTGCTGCTGCACCTAGCAGCTTGCTGCTGCTGCTGCTGCTGCTGCTGCTGCTGCTGCAGTTGCTGCTGTGGTTGCTGCTGTTGGTGCTACGGTCCCTGCGATGGGTAGTACTGCTATTACTACGACTGCTGCTGCAGCTGCTGCTATATCTGCTGCTGCAGCTGCTGCTGCAGCTGCTGCTGCTCCTGCTGCAGCTAATGTCCTTTGCTGCTGCTGCTGCAGCTAGTGGCCTCTCCTCCACCTCCGTGGGGATGCTACATCTCATGGTGCTGCTGCTGCTGCTGCTGTTGCTGCTGCTGATGATCTTGTTGTTGTTGTTGCTGCTGCTGCAGTTACTGTCCTGCTTGCTGCTGCTGTTTTGCCTACTACTGCTGCTGCTGCTGCGCTGCGCTTGATGCTGCTGCTGTAGCACTTACCGATGCTGCTGCTGCTACTGTTGCGCTGCGCTTATTGCTGCAGCTGCGCTAGTTGCTGCTGTTGCTGCTGCTGCTGCACTTGCTGCTGCTGCTGCGCTTACTGCTGCTGCTGCACTTGCTGCTGCTGCTGCTGCGCTCACTGCTGCTGCTGCGCTTGCTGCTGCCGTTGTTGTTGCGCTTGTTGAGTGTGTTATTGCTGTACACCTACTACTACTCTTGCTGCGTGTGCTGCTCTTGCTGCGTTTGCTGCTGTTGTTGTGTTGGTTGCTGCTGCAGTTGCTGCTGTTGCTGCTCTCTAGAGCTTGCTGCTGTGCTTGCTGCTGCGCCTGCTGCTGTATACCGGCTGCAGCTGCTGCTCTTCTTGCGCTTGTTGCTCTAGCGCTTGCTGCTGCAGTTGCTGCTGCTGTTGTTGTTGTTGCTGCTGCTGCTGCAGTTGACGAAGGTTGGTAGTTGATTGGGTGTGTGCTGCTACAGCGGGAGCAGCAGCAGCAACGGCTGCAGCGGCGGCAGCAGCAGCAGCAGCAGCAATGAGTCGTGCAGCAAAGCAGCAAGTATGTAGATAAGGCGCTGCTGCAGGTGATCGAAGTTTCGTGCTGCAGTGGGCAGCAGCGCAAGTTGAGCTGCTGCAGCTGCTGCTGCGGCTTGACTGCAGCAGCAGCAGCAGCAGCAACAACAACAACAAGACACGAATCCTTCGCTGCAGCAAGACACAAATATAATTTTATTGTTACTATAAACAGCAAACAACAACAGCAAAGACACCACGACAACGCTCCTGTTGCTGCTGCTGCTGCTGCTGCTGCCTCGAGTCTTCGAGGCCGCTGGGAGCAGCCGGCGCCAGCAGCAGCAGCAGCAGCGACAGCTGCAGCAGCAGCAGCAGCAACTGCAGCAGGAGCTATATGTATGCTGTATATATACAGCAGCAGCAGCAGCAACTCTCTTATTGTTTTGCTGCAGCAA